AAAAATTAGATGGAGATTGGGACGATTGCTTCATCTTTTAAAACATCCTTATTTAATTTTGCAATTGCTGTAGTTACAATCATGAATTTAGAGAGGCAATGCAGAGAATAGTTCTGCGTGGAAGAAAGAAACAAGACATTTTATTGAAATGTTTTTCTACCTTGCTCTGGTATATTTTGATTTCTTCATACGTGTGGGTTTGCCAGGCTAGCTGGTGTAGTTCCTCCATTGTATACTGACATGTCTCCAAATGGGACTTAATTATATTCTGTGCAATTCGATCTAAGAGATAGGAACAAAAACAAAACATTTGATTTACAAATAATTATACATATATATACTATCAGGAAAAAGGCATATGAGAAGCAGAAGAAGTACTGGGGCCCTGAAAGAGGATGTGGAAAATAAAGAGCAGTACATGGTAAGAGCACTTGGGGCTGGGCCTCCTAAGCTGAGACAGTGGCTCCAACAGATCCCAGGAACAAAATTAAGCCTTTGTCCAGAAGACTGTATTGCTAGGAAAAGTTAAGATCCTGTGTGGAATCCTCAAACTCTCAGGCCTTGGGTAGAGGACCTGAGATTGAGGAAGACACAGATCACCCATAAAGGTGAGGAAGGAATTTACGCACATACGTATACACACACACACATACATATACTGTACATACACATACTTTAATCATGTCATAATATACACTTTTTGGTTAGAAAGACAGGATAAAAATCAAATAAGATTATTAAATAATAATTTTATGAAATCTATAGGCTTCCCCAAGAACTGATGGCTAGAATCACTGTCTTTCACCTCAACATTTCTAGCAGTAGTTCATTGTAATGACTTCATTTAGGGAAATGTTACACTGACAGTCCAAAGTGATATAAGATCTTGAAGCTGATTCATTGTGTTGTCCATTCATTTATAAGTTTTGGGGAGGCATTCAAGTTATAAATGTACAATTTTACAATCAATGGAAAATGTGATCATTTCACCCTTGAAGTTTCCTCGGACTCAGATCATAAATTCAGGGATTATGAGAGGAATGAGCATTGCAACAAACCTTTGCCCCAATCAGAGATACAGAAAGCTA